GAAATTTATTTTATTTAATCAATCATGTAGAATAAACATCATTATTAAAATTGACATAGATGAAGAAAATAATGTTTGAGATGTTTTGGAAGTGAAAGAACAGTAGAATCATACAAATAATTTATTCTTGAACAATTAATCTTTGTTGTATCTCTTTTAAAATTATGTGTAACTTTTTCTAGTAGTTCATGATTAGTAGCAAGATTCATATTGTTTGGTAAATATGTTTTAGTATCATCTAAGAATTGTTCAATATAATCCTCATGAATTTCATTTAGATTAAGATAAGTAAGATGAGGATATATAATGATTGAGAAATCTTGTTTATCATCTTTTGATTTTGTGCATTGTTTATTCTTTTGTGGTTTTAGATTATTTAAAGTTAATTTTTTTATCAATGGAAATGATTGAGCAACAAGAAGAAAAAATTCATGTTCAAAAGGTCGTTCATCAAATAATGATATTTCACGAACACATTCAAATAATCCACCTTGAAAATTATTGGTTATATTATTGTATTCTTTCAATGTATATGGAGATGAATAAATAAGACATTCACCTTTTCCTGCCTCTGAAAAATAATCAACACAAGAAATAATTTTATTAGATGTTAAATTTTTCAATGTATTTTGTATATTTTCATTTGATGGCAAATCAATTTGATTATCAAGATAAATACTTGAATGAATATTAAATGTAAATTTGTTTAGTTTGGACATATGATTAATAATATTTTTCAAATTGTTTCCATCAATAAATGAACTTCTTCCAAAGATTACCAAATTCAAAGTAAGCTCTTCTAAATTTGACATTCGATATAAAAGTGATACAATTATTCCATCAAATGCATGTAGAACCGCAAAACAGTTTAGTACAAAGCATTTTAAATTAGGAAGCTTTGCCTAAAAGATATTATTGACGTATTTCAATTATATATTAAATAAAATCGCCTACTTTATTATCGATTTTTAAATGTGGAGTAATTGTATCAATATTCACATGGAATGTATGAAGTTGATTGAAACGTCCATCAAGTAAATAAAGACAATTAGTGAAATTCTTCAAAGTGACATACAATTCTAATAGATTTGATGAGAAAATACGTGGCGGTGAATAATTAAATGATAATTGTTGATAATAATATGAAGACGAAACAAAGTCTAAATATTGTAAATTGTTAAACATTGTAAAGATATGCGTAAATATAAATGTATTCATTTCTTCTCTGTCACTTCGATGGTCATTTTGATTTATATGAATAATAAGTGATAAAATTTCATTTTTAAATATATGAAATAACAGGATTTCATCTAAATATAAATCAAATACAAAAATATCATGTAAAAAACTAATCATTTTTTTTTATATTAATTTATAACTTTTTATCTCTTTGACAATATTACTCACTATCACCAATGACATCTTTGTTATTCAAGATAATCATGTCTTTGCACTCTGATATTATTTTAAATATCTTATCTTCAAAATAAATATTCGTAATTTATGACTAAATAAGTATTAAACAGTGCATAGTGTTGCTAATTTTAATCTATTTCTTATTTGTTCTAGAATTAATAAGAATTAAAGAAAAATATCTTACTAGTAAAAAGATATTTTGCCTTTTCTATTTCAAGATTATATAAACCAAGTCTATTTAAATTAGGATAATTTGTACAGAGAAGAATAGATGCCATTGATGACGATTCAAGATTAAGCCATTTGACTTTATGATGAATTTTAGGTAAAATTTGTGAACGAAATCGATTAAGTATTGAGTAAGATGGTCTAGAAATCAAATCATTCGAATCATGATTCAGTAAATTTAAATGGCTTGTAAAAATTGAATCATGTAAAATTTTAGTTAATCGTTTATTAATGCCAAATAAAGAATAAAGTAGCGAGACAATTGTCTACTCTTTTGAAAATAATTAAAAGAATTTCGTCCGATAAATCAGTCAATTGACGACATAGATGTTCCATGTTCGTCTTTTTCTTTAGCTTGAAACAGTCTACATATATACTCATTTGTTCTATTTCACCAATGCTGTCGAAGAAAATAATGATTTAATTTTTTATATAGTCGAAATCGACAATGAATAAATGAATGAAAGAATCTCTCTCTCTTTCTCTCTTATTCTCATTCAATAAAGAGCTTTGTTCGAATTGGATCAATTGTTGACGAACTGACTTCTCTTAAGCTAAATTGTCAATGTACTGAAATTCCAATATCACTTTAGTCACTATTTATTGGATCATCTGTTAGTATTTGATATGAATATGAATAGTTTCTGTTATCTTGATCACTTGACTATTCTTCTAAATTAATCCTTTTACCTATTGACTATTTTTCTATGTCATAACCTTGACGTTATTATTGATCTTTTTGTCTTATTGGTCACATCATTCGATTAAATGAAGAGTTTTTTGGTGCAATACCATTAATTAATTCTTGAAAAGTTAATAAATGTCATAGAAAGATCTTGTGATAGTTACGAAGATTTAATGGAAGAATATGATTGTAGGAAAACTAAAACTTTAATTGGTTTCGATGTACAAAAGGAAAGAATTGA